AAACCTAGAAACTTATTACGCCTTTTACAATACACCTGTCAATATTCCATAGCCGCACGACATCTTTTGATATTTCTGGGAGGTTGCGCGAAGAATTTTAATTCGTCCGGCAGGTAGCGAAACGCGTTTCGACGGGCCTTGCGCTGCGAAGGAAGTGCGTCGTAGGTGAGAGCGGCAGGTGAACGATTTTTTCATTATTTTTCGTGTTATAAACTTCAGTTTTGTTTTAAAAAATGGGGAAAAATAGTAAACGTAAAATTCAGCTAAAAGAATTAGTGATTAAAAAAAGAACCAGCTCCAGTTATTCGGAGAAAGAAACAGATTCATCCAGCGAAGAAGAAGACTTGATGTTTCAACAACCAGGTGGGATCGATTTCACTTCAAAAGATATGTTGGACAAAATGAACGAGATTATGGCATTTTTAAAACAAGGGAGTAGTACGAAATGTTTGAGTGTTTTACTTTATATGGCATTGAGACATTTCAACGTAACCTACCGTGATGTTGATGCTTTTCTAAGCGAAATTGGTTGTTGCAGAGCTGATGCATGTCACAAGCAAGCAGACAGATTTCTTCACTACGGATTTGAAAGATTTGTTATTGAAACGAGAGGAGGCAAACGCGGAGATGCCTTTTGGGATGTGTTTCCGGAAATTGAGGAAGAAACTCGGAATTTTGCTATTGAAGCTTGTACAAGGAAGGCAGCATCGTTTACGGTTGAAGAGTTAGCGCAGTTTATTGATCTAAGGCATAGTGAAATTACTGGTTTCCAAAAGGTGAGCCAAAATCTCAATTTTCTGCTAGTTTTTACGCGAATTTTTGTGCAATTTTGACTTTTAGAGTGATGCGGGATTCATCCGATCTGTTCAAAGTTGTCGCTTGGATCTACAAGCTTGGGGTATTACGTATTCGGCCAACAAATCTAGACCGTATTGGTTAGGCCATGAAAAGCCCGAAGTTGTTTTACATCGTGAACAGATAGTTAATTATTTTCTAGGAAGAGAAAACTTCTACTATCAAGTGTCTGATGGAATTGATCCAAAGTGGATTAGTCCAGCTGTTTCTGAGCCTGTCGTTTTGCTTTGTAAGTTCTGCTAA